ACAGATATAAATGAAAAAAGAATGAAAATGCCAAAAAAAAATTAGCAGTAGCCTTTTCTCTTTCCAAAGAGAAAAGGCTACTGCTAATTCAGACTACATTAACTTGAAAAATCAACATAAAACGGCTAACCAATAAAGTTGCCAAGTACGAAAACTTTTTCTAAAGTTTTTAGTAACGGCTAATTTTCATTGTGTTTCGGTAATTTACTATAAGGCGAGATAAATCGATTCCCTAAAACAAAATACTAACTTGATCGTAGGCTATTATAAAAAAACATAACTTTTATATATATATATAGTAACGTTTTACTAAATAGAATTGAAAACTTTATTCGTGAAATTATTTAAAGACAAGATGAAATAAATGCTTAAAAAGAATATATTAATCTTGGCTTAGTCTAGCTTAACAAAATACAATCTTTGTTTAGAATTAGCTTATCATTAAATATAATCAAATAGATACCTGTCCAAAAAAAAGCCCTTTGAACTGAAGCCTATGCATGAACTGAAGCCTATGCATGTACTTTGTACTGAAGCCTGAAGCATGTACTGAAGCCTATGATAAAAGCTATTGCAGAGCGACATCACTAAGATTATGTGACACAAATTGTATCTTGAAACCGAGATAAACCCTTGGAATTATTTGAATTAAGGCACGATTCACTAAATTCGAAATCATAAACTAATCCGAAAAATTATTTGAAAGGCAAGAGAAAACAATTTTAAGAAGAAAGATGCTAATCTTATCTAAGGCTAGTTCAGCAAAGCACAATCTCTATATAAAAATCAATAGAAACATGCTCAAAGCCAAACTCTCTGTCGTTGCATTTGACGAAACTTTTAATAAATGCAATTGCAGCCGTAGGTGTGGTTAGCGCGCTAACCACAGCCGTAGCGCAGTGGTTAGCACGCTTGCCTCAGAAGCTAGTAATCCGTGATTCACCACGGACAAGTTTTATAACATTAGTAAGGAAGGACGTGTGAATTTCCTTTCAAATGATCTTCCGCGGTGCTCTGTGATATGACCGTAAAAACTTCTTGGGGCACCTAAAATAAAAAAATTAAAAACAAAAAAAAATAACCACGATATTTTTTTTATTTAAGGCGAGTTTTACTAATTTGATTTGAAAAACTTATCTGAGAAATTATTTAAAGACAAGAGGTAACATTTTCTAGAAGAGAAATGCTAATTTTATTTTAGGCTAGTTTACTAATTTAGAAATAATAAACTTATACGAGAAATTATTTAAAGAAAAAAGAGGAAATAAATTTCCAGAAGAGAAATACTAATCTTATTCTAGGCTGGTTCAAAAAAACTTTCAAATAACAGATAAATATTTTTCAAATAACCGATGGAGAACTGTCCAAATCCAAACCCTCAGTCGTTGTGTGTCTTAGAGCCTCATTTAAAAGCTATTTACAAAATGACATCATTAAGAACACGTAGCACAAGTTCTAAATTGAAATCAAGATAACCACAGGAGTTATTTTATTTGGGGCAAGTTTCACCCGATAAAAATGATAAATTTATTAGAAAAATTATTTAAGTGCAAGAGGAAACAATGCTGATCTTATCTTATGCTAGTTCTGGCAAACACACTATTTTATATAAAAACAAATGAAGACCTGCTCAAACCCAAACCCTCAGTCGTTGCATGTTCTAAAGTATCTAGTAACAGTTAATACATAATGACATCGTTAAGATCATGTGACACTATAGCATATTAAAACCAAGATGACCGCAGAAGTTATTTCAATTTAGGCAAGTTTGACTGATTCGAAAAAATGTTTAAATTATTAAATAGTCAAATGGCACCTCTCTCTCTCCCCCTTTCTATAATAAAATAAATGTTATTGGTTTGTGAAAAGATATTACCCAGTAAAGCTTACTCAGTAAGCACAGAGACGGCAAGAATAGATCAATATTTAGTCGGTATTGTTCGAAAAATAGATAAAGCGTTTAGCGACCAATTATTGATCAAAAATCGATGGTTAATTTGATCAAAATTACAACCTTTTTAATGTCGACGTTGATTAAAAGTTAATAAAACGTTTAGAATATTGAGAATTATTCTAGACGTTTAGTAAACGTTTAATAAACGCATACATTTAGATAAAAGGCCATCCATAAAGTATGTACCCAGGTATGGGGAGGGGTTTCCCAAAAGCGATCAAACGCGTAAAGGAGGGGGGGGTGTGGCTGAAGGGTGTATTAAAGACAGTGAGTACGTACGCTGTTTATCTATCTCTCCTAAACATGATTTTATTTTTTAAAAAACATTGAATTTCACGTGTGTAACAAATCAGAATTGTGTGTTCTTTTTTCTCACTTCACTCACAATTTTATTTTAGATTTCTTTATAAAAGAAATTGAGTTAATTTTGAGAAAAAAAACAATGTGTACGTTTGCGGAGGTTAAGGGGGTCTTCAAAAGAGTAAAGGTTCGTAAAAGGGGGAAGGGGTGTCCTAAATCAGTGGTTTTACTGCGTATGTACTTTATGGATTCCCTCTAATTAAAGCGTACATTGCAAGCCTATAAATGTAACGTGTAAACGTATACATAAAAAGGGTTGATGCGTACATTTCGAATCTGTTAATTATACGTATATTAAGTTACGGTTTCATTTTTTTTTTGTAATAAAACGTTTTCAATGTACATTTATAATAGTCAATATTGTAAACCTTCAACGCCTAATAAACGCATCATTGCTTAATAAGCGTATACATTAAAAAGATTGAAGCATATGTCGAACTTTGCATAAAACTCTCTATATATACTATATATAACTCTATATATAGGGTTGCTAGACGTCCAGCTTTAACGAAGGAGAATGCAGCGCCAAATCTGTAAAAAATAATTTTTTTTTACCGTGTTCTCTTTCGTAAAAGCCGGACGTCTAGCAACCCTGATAATATATATAGTTTTATGTAAAGTTTTGCATATTCTTCAATCCTTTTAATGTATACGTAATGTATGCAATCCTTTTAATGTATATTCAATATTTTATAATATAATTTTTTTTAAATATTTTTGATGATTTTGTTTGAATGTTTTAAAGATTTAAATTTGTAAATAATTTTTTTTTGATTTTTTAGTTACTAATCTTAATGATTTGAAATTTAAAAATATTTTAATTTTTCTAATTTTAAAACACATAATTTCTAAACATTTTAAATATTTATTGCACTACTAGTAATCTTGTGGTACATTTTACTGTAAATTACTGAAACCTGACAAATTTTCCTTTTGATAGCACATTTCATAGTTAAATGCGTTAACATCATTAAGTAAAACTATGAAATAATCAGCCATTTATTTGCTGTTCAAAGTAACAAGAGCGATTCAAAACGTACATATGCGTATTATAATAAATTTAAACTCTTTATATACGTTTAAAAAAATTAATTATAAACGCTTTTTCTTCGTTTAAGAGACGTCGAAAATACGTTTAATAGACGTCGAAAATACGTTAGAATCTTGACGTTTAATAGAGGTTTGCTTTAAACGTTATTTTAGATTTCATTCTGAACGGATAATCGACCAAATCTAAACTTTTCGACTAAATGTTATTTTGACGTTTTATAAACGTTTATGTATTTTTTGGGTTACTTCTAGGCAATCCATACTTGGAAATTAAATATGTAGTGCAATTCAGAAAAATTTTATTGTTTGGGCATTACTACAATTTATATATAACTAATATTGTAAAAAAATGTTGGCTATATAAAGATTGCTCAAATGTTAAGAACATATGTTTTATAAACGTTTTTGACGTTTTATAAACGTTTATGTATTTATTGGGTTACTTCTAGGCAATCCATACTTGTAAATTAAATATGTAGTGCGATTCACAAAAATTTTATTGTTTGAGCAATACTACAATTTATATATAACTAATATTGTAAAACAATGTTGGCTATATAAAGATTGCTCAAATGTTAAGAACATCTGTTTTTGTGGTGTTTTTTAAGGTTAAAAAACTAAATAAAAAACGAAACTGTAAAAACGGGGTACTGTTGTACGAACATGTAAACATCAAGTCCGACCGTATATTAAAGAAGGTTATTATAAACTTTAAATTAATTTAAATTCAAAAGTTATTATTTTTAAAAGTTTCCTTTTTTTCTTACTTGTTATTCTTTTCTTTTTGTTTTCCTATTTCTCCTGGTTATTTATATTATTATTAACAATTTTTTACTTCAAGTTAATGTTTTTGGTTAATATTAATGGTTGTTATGTTCTATAATTTTTGGCTGTAACTACCGGCAGTCGGTAAAACGCGAACTTTTTGACGAACCAAAATATTTTTTAAATATTTTAATAGTTTAAATATATCTTATATATTATTCTTTTTTATATAATTGTACGTAAATAAATTGACTGATAATAGAGAGAACCAAATGAGCGTTGTTAAGTAAAATCGCAATAAGGTAAACATGCAATAGTGGTGTAGTGGTTGTAGACATTCGGTCTAAAAAAGACGTCTTTTAAGGGTTTATAAAACGCATAAAACGTTTAAGAAATACGAATTAGACGTAACAAAAACGTCTTTTTTAGACCATATGTTTGGTGTGAAAATAGTTGTGCACTGGTAGATTTTTTTAGCAAGAAGTTGAATTACCTCCTTGACTGTAGTGGCTTTGTGTACTTTTTATTATTATAATTTTTAATTCTTTATTTGTATTTAATAATTTTAGTTAATAATAATGGATCAATTTATTATAAGCAAAGAAAGTGAAAAAGTATATTTTTTAAAGTTCAAGGCAGAATACAAAATTCATTCAAAGTTAAAGCTCAGATTTAGGTTCAATATTATTATTACTGTATAATGGTAGGTACGGTATAGTTTATTAACCGTATGCAACCCTACCGTACTGTTTACCTTTTACTTCAAAATCATTAAAACTCTTGCAAAAATACCGTTTAAAAAAACTGTTTGAAAGTATTTTTAATAAAAATATTACAAATCAAATTTTAAAAAATTGAAAATAAGCGAATAAATAATCTTCTATTTATTTAGTATAATATTTTTCTTATTTTACTTATATGAATTATGATTTTTGCTGAATACAGATGAAATCCGGAGAATAACACGTTTAAAATCTTTTCTGAACCTTTCATTTAGACCTCCATAGATCCATGGATTAAAAACGCAGTTTGCGTATGTTAGAATATAAACTACATTATAAATAACAGGATTGTATCTGTTTGGGTTGTTTGATTTATTAAAAGTTTCTGTTATCCAATAAATTTGATTTGGAAGCATGAATATGACAAATACCATTACAACTACAGTGAACGTACGCAATAAATCCCGACTTTGTCGGAACCGCCGTTCAAAAGCTCTATGCTGTAGTGTCTTTGGTTCAATCATGGAGTTAGGGAAAATATAATTCATGATTACCTCACTAGATCTACGCAAACTTGGTAATAACGGAGCATGTTTTTCTGAACATTTTGAATGCGTACCATCGTGACTAAAAGAAAGTGTTTTTCGTGATGCTTCGCTGTGTTCACGGCTAGAAAATAAAGGCGTCATAGGCTTGGTTACAGCCAGATTTCTTTTTTGAATGATAATCCATGCTCTAGCATAAAACGCAAGCATAATTGGGACGGGAATTACGTATTGCATTGCAAACAACGCCACAGTATACAAACGAGCAGATTCATCTGACCAAGTTTCTATGCATACATACTGTACTTGATTATTTTCCCAACGCAGAGTGACCATATAAGGTATGACAGTTCCAATCCCAAAAATATGAATAGTCAGTATTATCAAAACAGATCTTAGACCATCGTTTATCAAACTAAATGGTTGAGCAACTACTTTCCAACGTTCAAACGCTATCACTAATAAAGTAAATACGCCTGTGTTTACAGCATATGTCGAAATGGGAGTTAAAAGCTTACATCCTACGTGTCCAAGTAGAAAGTTTTTGGACGCCCGCATAATTAGCTCGGCAGGAATTGAAACGGACACCAGTAAAACATTAACAACACTTAGGTTAATAATAAGTTTGTCAACAAACTTTTTATACCGGCGAATTTTAATCAATGCTACAACTAAAAAAACATTTCCCAAAACACTAAAAATAAGAATGATATATCTAGTGACGGTAAATGTAAATACAATCCATTGCTGTTCGGTTTCTTGCTGAGTTGCATTTCCAGACATTTTTCATAGTTTGAATTTTAACTGTTAGTTAAATAAAAAGAAGAAAATTTGCGTTTTACATCACATGTCTTTTATCAAAACTTAAAAAGTATATATAGTTATAAAAATATATTGATTTATTTACTCTCAAGTACTGATTCTTAAAAAGTTTTTAAATTATAACAAAACTCAGAAAAATATATCTTTAAATGTTTAAACTCAGAAAAGTATATCTTTAAATGTTTAAACTCAGAAAAATCTTTAAATGTTAAAGTTACATTCCAGTCACCAAATTACTTACCATTACTTTATTTATTAACATACTATTAATTGATATTTGTTTTACTTGACTATTTTTTACCATTACTTATATGAAATTTATAGTGCATATTTAATAAGTTTATTTGTTGAGCTTGTGTTTTCTTAAAGATTTAGATATAAGAAAAGTTATAAAACAACATTTAAAATTACAATCATTAATCTATAACACATGTGATTTCAATTCTGAATTCACAGGGTAAAATGTATACTTTATTTGCTATATTTACATACATTCAAAAAGTGGTATTTTGCATCACAAGTGAATGTTGATTGTTGTTATTGGGGTTAAAGTGGTTGCTACGAGGTATTGAAATAAATAATCTATAGTAAAATAAATCTATAAATAAGCTTTTCAATCTTTCAATACTACATTTATTTAAACATTTCTTTATTTTGTTTTTTACTATCTAATAAATAAAACTTTATGTTTCCTTGTTTTTGAGTCTTTCAGCTAATTAAACTTTATTAATATTATAGAGCAATTTAAAAATTATGCTAATTTGTAAATTGCTCTATAATATTAATACTGTCTATTGCGTATGTTAATACGCATATAATTTATATTATCATGGAAACAATATTTTTTTAAAAATTTATATTTAATAAAGCTATAATCTAAATAAACACATACACACATACACATATATAAACACGCACGAAAACACACGCACATGCGTATTTGCGCTCTTGTGATGTGATGAAAGTGCGTGCCTGTGTGTTAATAAGAAAATTCAGAAGAAGGCGGATTGGTTATAACCCGCTCCGCCCTCCTGTGGAGAAAACTAAAAAACATTATTTTTAGAAAACATTTATGATGCTTAGATTCATGATTTTTAGAAAACATTTATGATGCATTTAACCGCGGTGCTCTGTGATAAGACCATTAGGAATTCTTGGGACACCTGAATAAAAATTAAAGAAAAAATGCTGCTCTAGATTTTCAAAACTTATTTTGTGAATACTTGACGTACTTAAAGACAGAGCTGTAAAATAAGTAATTTTCAGGTGCGATACGAAATAGAAAAGTAAAGCTTCTATTTTACCAGTTTCCAAACAAAATATTCCCAATATTTTCAACGAATCTGATCAAAATTGCTACTCTTAAAATATGTTCTACTGTTTTTTGAATATTTAAGTAAAATTGAAACCTTTGAACATTTGAGGTTATACGGGATGTTGTTAAAAACATTTGTATTTGTTTGTTTTGCTCATCTAGGAAAAAGTTTTAACTGGCCATACTTTCTAATGTTCATATTTGTATTTCATTTTAAACATTAGAAACGAGGGCATGTTAAAAAATTATTTATTATATATATATATATATATATATATATATATATATATATATTAAACTTTAATATGTTTTTACTTATGCCCTTTTTTCGAAGGTAACGGATAAGGGAAAAATAATAATATTTTTTTCTTACCGTTCCCGTAAAAAAATAAATGATTGGAGACTGAACTTTTTGACCCAAATAAGGTATGAAATTTTCATCAATAAAGTTTCTTTTTCCAGAACCAATGTTTTAGTTGCCCATAAAACTATAAAAAGTTGCAAAAATTAAAGTGTTATATCCGAAATATTAGGATGCAAAAATGAAAAAGTCAACCAAAATCACAAACTAGTTTTAATGTTAGAGAAAAAAGTTTTATTGCTAACGGTTTATTTGTAAGTGTTTATTTGTGGCGTGTGAATATTTAACATAAATAAAAAAAATTTAATTTCAAAAAATAATTAAAAACAACTAACACTTCAAATTGATTGTTTTATTTATTTATTTATACACAATAAAAATGTTGAAATCAATTGATCAAGACAAATGTATTTATAACTTTAATTTATAAAAAGAAGAATAAAACATTCATTTTTTAAAACAATTGTTAAACCTCTAATTGATAAAAAATAATATGCGGTTATGTGACGTAACAATGATATTCTTATGCCGTTTAAAAATGGGATAAATATGTAATTATATATATATATATACATATATATATATATATATATATATATATATATATATATATATATATATATATATATATATATATATATATATATATATATATATATATATATATATATATATATATATATATATATATATATATATATATATATATATATATATATATATATATATATATATATATATATATACATATATACTAACTAAACTTACTATAAGATAACTACACCTATTGGACATATAACGTCCTTAAAAATAGGCTTATTCGGCATATAACGTATGCCGCCTGAGCCTTTTGCATTTAAAAATTATAAAAATTATAAAGTTAGATTTTACATCTAAGTTATAAAAAATTACGGAAACTAAAAATATATTAATGTAAAATAGTGTATAAAAATCTTTCTCCGAATGCTCAAAAGTCATGATTGCATATCGAGGGCTCAGAGCAAAAACGTTCTAACTGACAAAATGGCAAACATTGAGTTTACTTAATAATCTGATCTAGTGTTTGGGGTAATATCAAAACTGTAGGCAACTAGCAAACATTAATAGCTATCTTTGTTCTAAATATCAGAACATTTTGGATTCGCATCAACTTATGCAAGACGAAATCTCGACTTTCTAACCATGTTTTATTCGTTTCACAAAAATGTCAGTTACAACTTTTCTGCAGTGAGCCCGTGATATGGTTGGTATACAACCTCTGCCTTTATTTTCAACTTTTTTAAATACATATGTTGTATCCATAGAGACAAATTATCATTTATGTTTGACGTTTTATGACTTTACCAAAAGCAAAGCATTTTTCAAATTTTTATTTTCTGCGACACAGCTTTAAAATTCTGCTACAGTTCATTTTTTTTAACTACCTTAATAAATATTTGTAAATTTTTTAATCAAATTTTATTTCGCTAACATTTTCGATCAACAACAGTTATTCTTTATGGTAAGCGTACTTTTATGACATCTGATAAAGCATAATAAATAGATAAAATTAGTAATACTTAATATGACTGGTTATTTATACCATTCAAAAAATTGAATCTACATAATATCTATGAATTAAATAGATATATTTTTTATCTATATACTTTTGTAAGTTTGGTAAATATTTACTTCAATTTTTGGATGTACTCGGAAGCTTTAGAAGACTTACTTTAGACATACATACTAATATTTACATATTTGTCAACTTTCACAAATTTTTATTCGCAACTTTTTTTCATGGCGGTTTTGTTTGCAACTTTGTTACACAGCAGTTTCACAATACTGTAATAGTAATTATTTAACTACTTTAATTAACTACTTTTTGTTATATTATTTATTTTTTCCATTGTTAAATAAGCGAACGTTCAATTAGGTATTTCAACATGTGAGAGCGTGATATCGATAATCGTTAAAACGTGGAAAAAAGATCTGACGTTTTATGCCGATATATATTTCCCTAATAGTGTGCATAATTTTAATTGGTGAGCGTTAATCACACAAAAATTATGCCTCCCACCAAAAAGTTTTTTTTTTCTTTTAGCATTTTTTTTTCTTTTAGCATCTTTTAGCATTTTTTAGCACTTGTCATTTTCAAGACTTGAAAATGACGGAGAAAACTGAGGAAAAATTAATTTTTTTAAATTTTTTGTTACAAGATAGTAAAAAAAAATTAATTTATTTTGTTGTAAAACCTTTTATGCATTACCATTAAATAAAATATTGAAAAAAAAAGTATTGTCGCTAATTTATTACGTCAAAGACGATCTACTAGCTTAAAAAAATTTCACTTCTCTTCAAATTAATTTAATTCCTACAATAACAAGCCAACGACAGTGACTAACAACTCTTCTACACTTCTTGATAATATAATTACTAATAACCATCGTAATGACCAACTTTACGCAGGCATAATCAAAATTGACTTATCGGATCAGTTCCCAACATTCCTAGTTACTAACAATATATCATTTAATAGTATTCCTTCTCAATCCATTTTTTTTAGGCGACAGGTCAATGAAAACTCGGTAAAACAATTTCAAAATCTTTTAAGAGACAACGTTGATTGGAATCTGGTATGGCAGTCACATGACGTTAACAACGCATATGATCTATTTTTAAATCAATTCTGCAACCAATTCGATCAAGCATTTCCTGAAAAAAAAAAATATTGTAAAAACCAAAACTTTATGGATGTCTAACGGGTTTTTAAAATCTTTAAAAAGAAAACAAAAGTTATATGTTAAGTACTTGAAAACAAAAAACTTATAAAAACGAAATGACATATAAAAATTATAAAAATACATTTGAAAAAAAAAAAAAAAGGAACTCAAAAAAGCTTTATTATGCAAAACTATGTAAAGCCACAGGAAACACTAAAAAAACATGGAGTGTAACTAAAGAAATAATCGGAAAAAATAATTATGCGAGAAACATTCTGCCAAAAAAAAAAAACAATTGATAAAACACAATTTATGATAAATCAATTATTGCTGAAAAATTAAACAGCTTCTTTACTAGTGCTGGTCCAATTTTGGAAGCAAAAATTCCTATGAATTAAAGCAATTCGATCCCTGAGGGGAGTATAATTTAAATGTCTCTTCAATTTTAGGGCCTTTACAGCAATGTATAAATTTTTATTATTTAAGTTCTATTCTACACACTTTTTATATAAGAAAATTAAAAACATCCTGAAGATTTAAGGCAAATTGAGTCTAGAGTTGAGTAATTGAGTCTAGAGTTGAGTAATTAAGTCTATATTTTATTATTCACTGCTTATTGTTTTACTAGATATTTTAAAAAAATCCTGAA